CGCAGGGCGAATAAGGGGGGTGCCAGTTGAAGTACATTTGTTTGAGGTGTGCGTTCCGTGGTCTGAATTGTCGTTTGTGTTTGTTGCTTGTGTGTGCAACAGGATGCCAATAACTGTGTTCATCCCAGATGCAAAAAGTGGAGGAATGATATCAATTGCGGAGTATGGGCAAGAATATTCCAAGGACAACCCAATCATGGTCTTGTTCAATGGTGTTGGGCACTACGACGTTTTGCAAAAGCCTCTTGTAAAAAACACTAAGTACATGTCTCCACCATCAAAGATATAACAAGCTCGTCATCAAATGAAATCATGGCCAACCTGAACGAGTTGCTCAGTCTACCTTTGAGTTCCTACTGATGCCATCTTGATTCAAGTTTGTTTGTTAACTTCACAATATACCAATGTCTGTGTTGTCAGCGATAGGCAGATGTGCAGAGGAACAGAGAACGGGGGGAAAATGTGTGTGTGTATGTATCTGTGTGCGTGTATGTGTATGTATCTGTGTAAGTGTGCGTGTGTGTGTGTGCGTGTGTGTGTGTGTGTGTGTGTGTGTGTGTGTGTGTGTGTGTGTGAGAGAGAGAGAGAGAGAGAGAGAGAGAGTAGCATCAAGAATCCGGGGGGGAGGAGAACATACGAGAGAAGGAGACCATGGGGGGAAGATGGGGGAGAGAGAGAGATAGAGCGAGATGAAGGTGGAGTGAGATGAAGGTGGAGAGAGAGAGAGAGAGAGAGCGAGAGAGAGAGAGAGAGAGCATATCAGGCATCTTTGCAGTGAAAAGAGAGGTAGGGAGGTTAAGAATAGTCGTTGAGGGCTTAAGCCTTCAGGTTTATCTCTGTGGAGTTTAAATATTCGAACTTCGGTTTAGGGTTTTATGTTGTTCTTCTTTCATAAAGGTCCCACAGCCCTGAACCAGGGGGAGCTCTATACAAATACCAATCCGGAAGTGTTCATATGTCGGTTCCCTGCTTTTGGGAATCGTTGTTGAGTTGTCGGCATTGCCTTTGAGGCTTTGACATCTTCACCTGGACAACAGTTTGTCTCTGTACGCAACGGGATTGAAGTGATACATCAGTTAACTCGTGTATCGATATCAACATTCACAATTGGAGTAATACAATGTAGCATCCGTGTACTCGTATCGATTTCAGAGTTTCAGATCATCAACATTCACAATTTCACAATTTCACAATTTCAGAATTTCAGAATTGTAATTGGTACGAACAATTTAAGGGATGTCAGTCAGGTACATTCAGTCTCAGTAGACTCTAAGACTTTTGGACATTGCCAGCAACTTCCATCTCGTTGTGTGACTCGTTGCATGACTCGTTGTGTGGCTCGTTGCATGACTCGTTGTGTGACTCTTTGTCACTCATTGTGTGACTCGTTGTGTGACTCGTTGCATGACTCGTTGTGTGACTCGTTGTCACTCATTGTGTGACTCGTTGTGTGACTCGTTGTGTGACTCAGTGTGACTCGTGTGAGCGAGTTGTGTGGGAGAATTGTGCGAGTGTGTTGTGTGAGCATGTGTGGTGTGATTGTCGTGTGAGCGAGTTGTGTGGGAGAATTGTGCGAGTGTGTTGTGTGCGCGTGTGTGGTGTGAGACTCAGTGAGAGTGGTGTTCCCTGTGTTCAGCCCGGTATACATGTGAAAAAGATTGATATTTCTGATTTTTCATGAATTTCCAAATTTTCGTTTTTTTCAGAATTGTAATTCATGCGAACAATGTAAGGGATGTCAGTCAGGTACATTCAGTCTCAGTAGACTCTAAGACTTTTGGACGTTGCCAGCAACTTCCATGAAGCTTTTTCCAGCGTGACATTTTCCGGCGTGGCCACAAGGAATTCAAACCATCACGGTGGACGATTTGCTTGGTGCTGGCAGCCTGTTTTTTTTAAGTCTTGTTCGGTCAATAGCCTGTTTTTTTGAAGTCTTGTTCGGTCAATTGGATTAATTTTTTCGCCTGGACAGAAGAAATCTGAACCGTCATGGTGCACGATCTGCTCAGCGCTGCCAGACATCTTGAAGCTTTTCCAACATGGAGTTTTGCTTGCCAGAAGAAATCGGAAAAATCGAGGTGGGCGAATTGCGTGGCGCCACGACCCTTTTTCCAGTGGAGCCTGCCCCCCGCGGCCATGCAGGGGCTTTGAAAGAGGGTTTCTGAATGCCATTGGCTGGTCCGTGCACCGGTTGTGTACTAAACAATGACTGGTGCGCTCTGATGGGACTGAACATGGGAGGATGCCCCCTGTCTCCCTCTACCTTCCCCAACCCCCCCAAAGTCGAAAGTTGAGGTTCGTGGTCAATGTATGACGGCTCAAATGGTGCACCTTCAAAATCACCCTCTCCTGCAGGGACCCCACGTAAGTGTCTTTCGTCAGGGAGACTGAATAGCTTGTGCTCTGTTCAGGATCTCTCTCTCTCTCTCTCTCTCTCTCTCTCTCTCTCTCTCTCTCTCTCTCTCTCTCTCTCGCTCTCTCTCTCTCTTACACACATACACACACACCCACACACACCCACCTATCGACTGCCTTGTCGGTCTTGCACTGCTGCCTGGCTGCCCATGCACCCGACTTNTCTCTCTCTCTCTCTCTCTCTCTCTCTCTCTCTCTCTCTCTCTCTCTCTCTCTCTCTCACACACACACACACACACACACACACACACACACGTATAGACTGCCTTGTGGGTGTTGCACTGCTGCCTGGCTGCCCATGCACCCGACTTGTGGTGATGTGCTGCTTGTCTGCTTGCCTCCGTGCCAATCTGCTTTCCTTGAGCTGATGTGCTACTCGCCTGCTTTCTTTGTTGTTTGCATCCATTCCCTTCCGCTCTCCGTTTGTTTTAGAGCTGCCTTGTTTGCTTTGCTGCTTGTGTTATCACTTGCGTTGTCGGCCTTCAACCGAGGTTGAAGTAGTCTATATTGAGTCAAAGCATAAAAATGAGGATTCCGCGGACTCCCGACAGTTTAGCCCCCTGACGAGTTGAACTTGGTGAAAACTAAAGGAAACAGCATGTCACAGTCCTTGTTCTTTTGTTTTTCTTTTCTCTCTTCTTTTTGTTTTCCATAGTCATCTTAGAAAGATTCGCTATGTTCGCTTTGCAGACGACTTCCTGATTGGATTGGAGTCATCGGACCTAGAGCGCTAGCCAATAGAGTACGACATCTGGTGGCACTATTTCTCAGAGTAAGGCTAGGCTAGCCTACTAGACTCTTCTTTCAAGTTTCAAAGACGCTCGTAACTCGACAAACTAAGGGCTCCTACAGACCGGCTTTTCTCATGTTTCGCGGAAGTCTTTCTAGAAGGCTTCACTATGTTCGCTATGCGAATGACGTCCTGATTGGAGTCGCTGGACCTGGAGCATTAGCCGATAGAACACGAAGTCTAGTGGCGCAATTTCTCGAACTAAAGCTCAACCTTCGGCCCTTCTTTTCAAAGACACTCGTAACTCAACGAGCTAAAGTCTTGCACAGGCTGGCTTTTCTTGGGTTTCTTATCAGCTCCTCCAGCCCTAAATCGTACACACACAAACAAACAAACAAACAAACAACATTGCAGATTGTTTCTTCTGTGTTGGCCCCCATTTGCTGTACATTGCTGTCAGCTTCTTCTTTGTTATCTCCAGCCCTACTCACAAAACCGCAGTTTCACCTTTCATGTCCTTGATAAAATTTGTCGCCCCACTCCTTCGCAATCACTTCCTTCCCCGTATATATCCGTTCTGCCTGTCTCATCTTCCCAGTCCCCTGTATCCTTGTCTCTCTCGGCCCTTGTTATCTCACCAATCCACCAGTCCTTGGCCCATACATGAGCCATAGGCCCGTCGTGTTAATGCGCCGCTACTTTTGGGGGCGGGCAGGCGTTGATAGTTCTTATTGGTGGCCTTTGGGCAGGCGTTGATAGTTCTTATTGGTGGCCTTTGTCGCGCTTATGGCATCTGAAATTCGCCGTCAGGGGCCCTCAGCCCATGTATGGGCCAATTACTACCGTCTTTGAATAGAACACCCGGTGATTTTAGCTGCATTTGGTCCAACTTTCAGTCCAGATGCGGCAACAATGACCGGGCGTCTATTCGGGTGAAGACGGTAGTGGTTTAACATCATCTTTTTATGGTCGCTTATCACATTGACACTGAGCCCCCCTTGTCTACCATCCCCATCGCCCCCCTTTTAGTCTAATTATCCCCCTTTTGGCCGAGTTGCCCTTGCACCATCTACTTTTTTCCCTCGTTCCCTCCCCCCTCCCCCTCTCCTCCTCCATGAACCTCCTCTTTCACCACTGCCACCACCACTTCTCCATCATACTTTCCATTACAGTCAACTTCGCATGCTCTTCTTCTTCATCTCTGCGGTTTCCACTTCGCCTTTGGACCTCCGCAGCAACCTGTCCCTCTTTCTGGTTCATGCAGGAAGAGGACAAGATTGGTCCCGTGTGGTAAACAGGAATCTAGTCGTGGAAATGGCCAGGTTTGTGCCTCCTTAGAGTAGACGTAATAACCAGGACAAGATTGTTCCAGTGTGGCAAACAGGAATCTAGTTGTGGAATGACCAGGTTCGTGCCTCAGAGTAAACGTAATAACCATAAGGCCTACACCTGACTACGAAAAGAAACAAACTAAGGGACTCCTAAGTCGGTTTAACTTAGCGGACCCAATCACTTCAAGTCAGTTTTATAGCATTTGCAAAGTTTACAAGTAATCCCCAAAAGAGCCTTGTTAGCATGGATGTGTTTGAAGGTGTGCGCTAGTACGCAATTGTGGATCATCTACAAAGGCGTCTGGCTGCTTAGCTCAAGTCTTAGATTGCCGGTTTGATTGCTTGCAGGGTTGTTCCAAACAGCATGGTGCGGGTATGTACCCGGTTTTCACTTTGCGTGGTCTGCCTTTGAAATAATACCTAGGTCGGTGGCTACGAGCAGGGCTAGTCCCCTGCAAGAGGGTCTGGATGGATGTCATGTTCGGAGAGTGTGTGTGTGTGTGCTGTAACCGTGCAGTGGTGGGTAAGATATCACAACCGATATGGTTCCACCACGGTTGCAGTGGCAAAGACGTTGGGCTGTTTAGCTCACGATCGCCGGTTCAAGTCCTTGCAGGGTCGTTCCAAACAGCATGGTGCAGTTATGTACCCAGTACCCACCATCTGCACCATGCAGGTGGATGGTAAACAACACTGTTGTCATCATTATTGTCCCTAACGTGTATATATTGCACGGGCTCTTGATGATGGAGTGTCTATGTTCATGGACTCCGAGATGATAGACTGGGATTGTTTTTTATTATCATGGAAGCACTGGCCGCCAACCTACGAGCTCATACGAGCATTACTAAGATCCGGATTGCAAATAATATACGGGAAGAGGCCATCCCTATCTGCTCCCTATTCGCAGACGACCTCACAGTCGTGATAGAGGCCACGCACAACAACTTGAAGGAGATCCAGGAATTGAAGGAAAATTTTATGAAGGTCTCTGATATGATAGTGAATTGGGGGAGCTCTGATATGATAGTGAATTGGGGGAGCAAGACACAAGGGTGGTGGATACACTACCAGGGGGAGCGGCCCCCAGACTCACCAAAGATCGCATGGTTGCCGCTAGATGATCCGCAAAGGATTCTAGGAGTATCCTCCATGACAGCGATAGGTTGCCCACCGACTAACGACGAATGGATAAGTACTCCCGCCCTGCAAAAACTGTGTAATTGGAACAGTAAGCACACGCCCCTCTTTGGCCGAGCGCTGGTTATCAATAACGTTGCTTTTGAAGCCTTATGGTTAAGTCGGTTCTCTGGCCGTTGAGTAAGGGAGCACTGAGAGAACTTAGGAGAAAGCCAGCGGCCTTTCTATGGAGGGGGGATATCGAGAATGGCAAAGCCAACAGCAGGGTACAGAGTCCTAAGGCAACAGGGCATCACATTCCTTACATTGAAAGGAGGGTAATCGGAGTATCATATTTACAGCCTAGGCCCTTTGCCAATTTAAAACCAAGGCAACAACAAAAGCTCGTAACCGGCAAGGGAGGACACAGAATTGGAGAATTCCTTGATGCGAAGAGAGAGAGAGAGAGAGAGAGAGAGAGAGAGAGAGAGAGAATTGAATCATGGAACATAATTGAACAGACAGATCATTGAACCTTCGCTAAGGGGTTGCAAATCTCCATGAAAGAGTTGTTGATAGAAGCAAAGGTAGTTGCCAAAAGGATAGGCTTTCTCATGTTATGTTGCTCATTATCTAGGGTTCGGGCTAGTCTTCAGTTGTCGAGTTAGTAGCAGAACATACTGATCCTCAAAATTGGTTGCTACAAGTCTGGGTACAGTGGGTAGTGGGACTAGATGGTAGCTCATGTGAGGTGCCTTAGGTTGAAGAGGCCCCATTTTTTGCTGATAGCCCGGAGAATTTTTGAACATTGAGAAGTTACCTGATGTTTTTTTTTGTCCATTGAAAGGGACGTTGGACCCAGTTCCCGGCAGGTGCAGCTTCCCACCAATAGAAAGGAGTCATCGGAACCTCGCCGTCTTCTACCCTCTGGGGCTCTTACCAACCAAGGGGTAGAGGACCTGGCCCTGAACGATGATTATTCAAAACTGTGTTCCCCTATGTACAATCCAGAAGCCCAACCAAAAGCGCAAAAGTCATTAAAAGGAGGTGAGTCGGAGCTCCGGGGGTGCAGCAGGAAGCTGCCAAACCGTTACCAAGCCGCAGAGGGTGCCCCGCTTTGACAGCAA